CTCTGTGCTGTCATAATCCACACTTTGTCAACCAAAGTGTTTTCCTTTTCTTCAGGAAGCAATAAGTATTTGAAGGTCATCAGCCACAGAATAGTCATACTATCACCATAATTAACAAATGCTCTGGCTGAAGTATTCATGCAAGATTCAAACATACTTATGACCATAACATCCTTTTCAGTATTGGTAAGGACTCGACCATGACGTGGAAGTCGAAATGTGAAGGCAGAACAGATTCCATTCTTGGAGAGAAAAGGTTCAAAGGTCTTCAGGAAATACAGTCCACTATCATCATCCACTACAAAGAGTCCAACCCAGGTCCAACCAAAATGCTGAAGCAAGTGCACAATTCCTGAATACTCATGCACTTCATTAGGGACCATGCGGTAGAAGGAAGAGAAGCGAGTTGTGTCAGTTTGTTCTGGGGGGAATGAGCCATAGGCCAGCTAAAGAAAATAGGCAGAAGAACTAGTGACAGGTTTGGAGGAAGAATTTCCCATGCAGAGATTCATATTTGGTGAAGGAAAATAATTATCAATCTCAATTTAATCTCTAGATTTAGGAGAAAATGGCAAGTTTAAAGAAAGCGTGCCTTTCCATTCCCAGAAATATATGAACATGCATGTATGAGATGAAAAAAATCCATAGCAATTTTTTATCTATAATTCAGACCTGAAGGACATGTTCCCCCTTTTGGCTTGCTTCTGTGAACCCTGGGATTCCTGCCCACCCCCATAAGGGATACCTCTCCATCCTTTTGAATCACAGCAGCAGCCCAACAGGCACATTTGGGATGAGCTATGAAACAACGGAGAGGGACGATATTCCTTGTTGATCTTACCTGAGGAATCTTGTAGAGACCTAAAATATCTGCCATGTGGAAGGAAGTTTCAGAGGAGAATCCCCCAAGGATGCCCATGAGAGTTTTCTTTGTGTCACATCCATAGTTGGGCAGAAAGCCGTGAGACTTGGAGAGCAGGTCCAGAGTGGCACGATAGGTCATTGTCTCAAAGAAGTAGGTGTCATATATGTGGAACCCAAGGGTCACATTGGGCAAAATCTGAGTATTCTCATTGATCTCACTTACAGCAAATGCCAAAGCCAGGAGTTGCTGGTAGAACTTGGTCACCATGCTGTGGATAAATGTAGATGATATTTCACTTGAGAATTATGCTGTACATTAAATGGATGTTCAGGATGCTGGTGCACTGTACCTAAAAGAACTTGAAAGATGAGAAAAACCTTGCTAAATGTCTCAAACATGCACATTGAACTGTGTCCTAGCCACTGAGCCTTATAGTTCTCATGCAAGTGGAGGAGAGCATTCTTCATTGGGAATTTGAAAGTTACTCTCCATGATGTTGAATCCAAATTGTGTTTACCTTTAGGCCTGGGAATAGTTCTTGTAAAGTCCAGGCTAAAATCCCAAATATCCAAACATAACCCCACTGGCACTACAGTAAACAACTTTCATTGCTTCATAGTGCAAAATGAATATTATATCTGAGTACCGCAACTCATGATTTTCTATGCCATCATGCTGTTTCCTATGCATTGAACCATATGTATTCTATCTAGAATCCCTGTATTCGGTCTTATTCATGTGACAGTCTGAACCAATTTTTATAGAAATACCATCCATGACAGTGAAAGAAATTGCAATATTTATGAACCAGTGTTATCATTTTTTTTTCTGAAGATGAATAATCAGCAAATAGTGATGGCAGTGAAGCATGTTCCTCCCTTGCTTTTTTCTAATTAAGTTCACATTAGCTTTTCTACCTAACAAGACTGTATTGCCTTGATATATTCACCTTGGTTGCTTATCTTTTCATTAATCCTCCCAATACGTTTTTGTGTTGAATTCACCATTTCTTAAAGCTTCCTGCTGATTCTTTCTCAGAGTATTTCATGAACATAATATTTCATATCCCTCTCATATAGAGAAAAAGATCTACAAAACATAGAAACTTGTTCTCATAGCAGGGAGAAGGGAAAACATCTCTTAAACCTAGATCCTTCATATAAACTTTCTACCTTATGATCTTTTTTGAACATTCTTTTTAGGACAGAAATAATCTGACACACACGTGCATATTATAAAAGGGCCTTTTCCACTCTCTGATGCTAATTCAGTTTTAAGCTATGGTGACGCAGGAAGAAGTTGGATAAGGATCTTACACTGGAAAATCAAAGCCCATTTCATCCGATGGGTGCTTGCTGAAGAAAGCCTCATTGAAAATATACATGATATGAGATGCAATCCCACCAATAAGGAAGATCCCTGGCTGGTACCATTCATGATGAACTGGGAGGGGATTGCTTCCAGGGCACTTTCCATTATCACTTCTGCACTTTTGCAGAACCAGGAGAAGAAACAAAGCCAGGAGTCTCATTCTGTCATGAGCAGAGTCCCGGGGTTTGCCCACAGCCCCTTAGTTGTAGGTCCAGTAACTACAGTAGGTAACAAAAGACTCTTTCTTCCTTTAACTGCCTGTTGCAGAGGAGATAACACTCCACTGCATCCAACTCATGTCACTGTTCTTCTCTTGATTTGCTTGCAGCTTCACTGCTTGCATCAGTTGTATTTGAATTATTGCAATGAATATCACTGTATTTAAAATGTTACCAAAAGACAGAAGTGTTTCAGCCTTATCTTTTAAGTCATACTCAATAATATGGCAGAACTATCTCCTAAAGAACAACCAATGCACTTTGCTTTGAAAGCAGAACCAGGCTAGGAAAAGGATAGATTCAGTAGTTCAATCTACAGGAGCCCTGCCTGCCTCTTTCCCCTCATTCTATTTTTGTAAGGCAGATGAGAAGGTTTTATAAACACTTTTCTCAATGGTTGCTTGATCCTGTTCCTAGCATATATTCAAAAGCTACTGATTCTTCCTTGCACTGAATTAATTATAGTTGTGTGGATAATTATAGGGAGAGAAACCAGGGCCTCAACTGTTTTCACTCCAACTGACGTCAGTGGTACTGCTCCAGCAGAAAATGTGGCTACAGCTCCCCTGAACCTACAGAAACAAACACACACCCAGTTGGGGGATCAATGTGAGAAAGGGCTCATGAGATTACAGTGTGCAAAACCATTGAGTATGCTAAGACCAAAGATGCAGCCAAAAGTAGGGATGTGCAACATTAAAAACAATACCTGAAATTATAATTATGGCCCTGAGTCTCAGTGGCTGTAGGAAAGAGTTCAAAATATCCATAGTAGAATAGGGGCTGCAATAGATGCTATCCATTACTATCTATTACCTCTAACATCCCAGGGAATACATCACTCTGTTCAAGTTGTGTAGAGAAATGAATTAGAAGAAGCTATATCTTTTGTCTGTCTTTCTTGCATCTTGCTTTCTTTCTTTTGTGACATACTCTCCTCACCTCATCAATGTCCCCTGATATTCCAGGTGGTTAACAAACCCGTCCAGTTTGGAAAGAAACACATTAGTGAAAATACAACCAAACTCTGATAATAATACAGCGAAAACATACAATGAAGCAAATCAAGATTAGGCATGAATAGCCTGCCTCTCCCAGAATTAACAGACTGGATGAGTTTGAACAGGCAGATAGGAACACAAATGGGTTTGCCTCCTGCTGAAGAGAAAAGGGGGTAGGGGGTTGAACTAGAGCTTTTTAATGGGAAGTTCCAGAAGCTAAGGAAGTCCACCCTGAAGGTCACTTCTTCCATCGCAGACAAATATGCTTCAGCTAGTGATGTTACAAGGATGAGGGCTTTTGCCCAAGGTCTTAAAAGTCAGGCAAGCTCATCTCAGCTTGAAAGAAAACCACCCATACCTTGGCCTGGCCCATGCACTATTAGCCTTTGTATATTGAGACTAATAATGTGAATTGCTCTTTGAAAAAGTCCTGCTGCCAATGATGTTGTTCTAAAAAGAGCCATGTGCTTCTTATCACTGTTCCCACTCAACTGTCCAGAGCAGCAATAAGCCCACTCCCCCAAGCAAGGTCCCCCTGCCAGTAGACTCTTTGACAATATTGCCCCAGGTCTGTTATTCTGACAAAGGAAGGGTACACTATTTTGCTATCCAAAGAATGAAGAAGATTCACTTATTGTTGCTGACTACTTTGATCTGCTATGCTTGAATAGTCTGAAGGTTGTGGTTGTGGAGACCAGAAGACCACCTAAAGATGGTAGGGTCAAATCAAAGACATACTCAATGTTAATCCCAGATCCTGGAGTAGAAAAATCTGACATTTTGGTTCCATGGTAAGTAATGTGTTATTGCTATAAAAGCACAAACCCAAATTTACCTGACAGGCTTTGAAACACAAAAGACCAAAACAAAAAACAAAAAACAGGCGAGCGAACAAACAAGCAAACATTTTGCACTTCTCCTCCACAATGTAATAACAAAGTAAAAGCAAATTAACTACACTGGCAGGGATGTTCATATGAAGGAGAAGAACAAATGAAGTAACACATGATAATGCAAGTGGTGGTGGGTGAGAAATGAGTGAAATTTGTGTGTTTCAGAACAGTATTTAGGGAAGGTCCTTTTACATTGGTGTGTGAAATTAACAATAAACATGAGGAATGCTTGAGAGGAAATGTTAAGGTAAATATATCTAATAAAATTAGATGAGCAGAATCCAAGACTAGTTAAAGAGCCTCCAATCTATAAAAGAACATTGGAGAAAAAAATGGCAAGCATATAATTATATATTTCATTACTTCTTCCTCCTTACAAGACACTCCTTGCTGTTCAGCTCAGGCCTCAGCAAAATTATATAGCACTTGGG